CTCCTAGATGCTCTTGGATCATTTTTACTTTTCTGGGTCTCCCTCCCCAGTTTCTGTGTTCTTTTGCTTTTAACTGCCCACACTTGTGACTTTTTTTGGAGAGTTCCTGTATTCTACTGGAACCTCTTCCTTGAACCCCTCAACAGCAGAGAATCTAAAATGCCTGGGATTTTACATTTATGTCCTACCCCTCCCCTGCTTTGAGTCTTTAGCCTTTAACCACTGGTGCAGGAACATGAAAGCCAAACCTGAGGTGTAGTTTATACTCCAGAGCACCCCTTTTGATCAGGTTGAGAGTGGGACTGCCTGAAACTGTGCTCCTGCTTGGCTTCTTACCCTTCGCTGTCCTGCTTTGCCCCTCCCTCATTGGACTCACCTAAGAGCATGTCCTAAATAAGCCACTTGCAGATCAATCCTCATCTCAGGGTCTGCTTCTGAAGAACCTATTACCTTCCCCATAAGGCAATGTTGGGAGAATTAAATGAGATAAATAGATGTAAAGTACCAAGCATTGTGCTTGGCCATAATATATGCTCAAAAACATTATTATTATCATGGTTCTCATGTCAGGTTTTTGGACTTTTTGATAGATTGGTGCCAAGACTTGGAGCACCCATCTGTCTAGTTGGGCATGGTAAATTCACACTTGAAAATGATTGAAAGAGCATGAAAGATGTATGAAAATGCATCTAATATATATGAGTCATCACCACCCTGGTTATGCAAATGAAAGCAAGGGTAACCAGCAGTATAGCATTTGCCAGGAGATCAGTCACATTAAAAAAAAAAAGAAAAAAAAAGATTTTCTTTTTTCTGGCCACTCAACTATGACTAAAGGAAAAAAAAAACCCAAACATGTTGCCGTCGAGCCGATTCCAACTTATAGCCACCGTATAGGACAGAGTAGAGCTACCCCATAGTTTCCAAGGAGCACCTGGTGGATTTGAACTGCCAAACTTTTGGTTAGCAGCCATAGCACTTAACCACTACACCACCAGGGTTTCCTCACTATGACTACTTATTTTAAAAGAAATCTCTTAGGTATATCAAGTGAATGGATATCATGGGGTCGGTAAAGTCCAAGAACCCCAATGGGGATGGAATTGAGACAAATCACAGTGGTTTGAACACCCTCCATCTAATGCATGAGGTGGTGGTGCCTTGTAATTTAACAACCAGGGAAGGAAACAAGGAGAAAGGGAAGTTTTATGTTCTAGAGAGAATTTATCTAGGACTTCTGAGACAGACTGAAAAGCCTACAAAATTTTTACTGGCAGGTTGCTTTTTCTATAGACTCCATATGTGAAATAATACAGTTGGAAGGCAACCTTCAATGCAGTGTGCAAGCTCATCAGGGAATTTTTTTCAGGCAGGAGACCAAGAATCTTAGGATCCAGAGGTCTTGACAAGTCATCTTGTCCTCTTGCGTTTCTTAAGGGTCAGATGACACAAAATGCCAAGGTGATACAGAATTGACTAATTACAATACAGTATCTAATGACTTTCACTTCAGGAAAGTCTCTTTAAATTTCTTAGGTGGCAGGGAGCTAAGCCCAGTCCTTGTTTTTGTTTGTTTGTTTGCTGGTTAGAGGACAGCCAGTCTCTGGACTGGGTCAGACCCATTCAGATTCTCTATGACTGGAATTCTGTAGAATCGTATCGTTAGCGCTGGGGGTGGGGAAGGATTTTCATTGAGCCTAATGTTCCCATGCATGGCCCATTACCACTTTTAGCTTGTGACCCCAGGGCATGTACAAGGAGGCTCACTGTGGTGCCAGAGAGTTAGAGTTGATTAGTGGCTCTATCATGAATGGAACGGGAGAGTAAGATGTGGTGGGAGCAATCTCTGGGACACTGTGCAGTCACAGGAAGCAAAGGACTAGATGGACAGTGTAACATGGCTAGATTTCTAACGTAATGTTGAGTCAGAAAAGCAGGTAACAGAATGAGATTCATTGTGTAACACCATTTGTGTAGTGCCCAGATAGGAAGTAACACTTTATGTGTTATAAGGATACCCACACGCCTGAAGACATATATTGAACACATTAGAGTGTTCAACTCTGCAAGGGGGAGGAATGGGTGTGGGTATTATGGCAGAAGGAGAAAATAAAAAGGAGAAGGCCTTGCACTGACTGAGGATGACAATGTGCTAAGCACCAAAAAGTATGGTTAACTAGACACTGCATCCAATCTTCAAGAGAAAAAAAAGAAAAAGTTTAGGAGCAGTAATAAAGAAAATGCTCCAAGTGAATCAGAAGTTCAGCCAAGTTTGATACTGGTATGGTCCAACCCCCTTATTCAACAGACAGTTGAGGCCCTTGGAGGGTGAACGATTTCTTGGAAAGACCACATTCCCCTCCGTTAGTCTTTTTCCTCTAGCCTAATTTTTTTTCCTTTCATCTTTCCACACAACTGTTATTTTCTAATTCTTTAATCACTCTCATGAAGCATTAAGCAGCCAGTTTGGCACGTGGTTTAAGAGACTGGGAAGAAAAGACCACATTGTTCTGTTGTATAACTTGTGGCGTTGTCTTCTCTTGGATTTCTTGCCTTGATTTTCAACATGCTATGTACATAATTTGACTTTATTCTGCTTAGCTTCCATCTACTGAGCGCTTAAATGTGCTAGGCACTGTGCCAAGTGCTTTGTCTAAATTTTCTCATTTAGATACCAACAACTCAGTGTGAAACCCTTTTTTCTATCTTTTCACACAAGAGTTAAACTTATCATTCCATGGGTATATCACCCCAACTGGGACTACTATGAATCATTAAATCAAAAGGATGTTTCTTTTATCAGATTGGGAGCGAATAAAATATTGCCCAAACTTCGGTTAGCATCGAAGCAGAAAGAAATGAATCAAGTTCACTCCTCACTGATTGCCTGCAACATCTAACCATTCTTGTCTTTGGGATTGAGAACATACTCAAACTCAAAAGAACTTAAATACTCCTTCCATGGGATGACATTTATCATTTTTATCATGGGGAAACGTACCACCCATTTCATCTACATTACACTGGAAATCCATGTCACCAAGATGCCGCGTTCCTAGGGAAATGGTGAGCAAGAGGAGTAGCTGGCAAATTGCTTCATGTCTTCTACTGTGTTTATAGCAATTTCATGTCTGTGCATGTGTAACTGATTGTTTGCTTTCTACCCCAGAGTTGTCTGTTCCTAAATTATTTCCATATTTTGTAGACTATAGTCTGTAAATATCTAACCGATGAGGCACCTACACATGAACCCTGCGAAAAACCACACATATAATGGCTTAAGTAAAAATACTCAATTCAGAGGCACTGTCAGAACATTGTGGAATTTTAAGCTGCAGTCGAAGGGAACAGCATTGCTTCTCCAGAAGCATTGCTGTTACGGGAGGTCACCAGTTGTCACACTAGTGCCTTCATTTCCAAATCTAAACCTTTCATGTTGCATAAATTACCTGCCTCCTAATTGGAAATTCAAGAGAGTAAAGTCTTCTTTTGAAAATAAATTAAATCGTGAGATATGGAGTAATCTCATAAATTAGTACTTTGGAAGAAAGAGTACATCCATGGCTCAGGGGGCTTAATTCAGCGTCTATGGCTTTGGTTGATTGCCCTTCCCCCTTTATTTTTTTTAAACTTTGTTTTTAGTCCCTTTTTTTTCTTTTTTTTGCTTCTCCTTGATTACTTACACACACACACACACCCACCACAGACATGCTTTTTTTTTTTTTTTTTTTGCAATAGTTACATACTTATAGAAAAGAGGAATTATTGCTACTTATCCACTAGTATCCAGTTAGGGCTTTAGCTTTATAGTTGTAATATATATACCAAAGCTTCAGCCTGCACATAAGCATTCATTGCAGAAATGCTGCAGTCAAAACATTTCCAAACTCAGGATTCACATTGTTTTTCCCTGTGATTAGTATAATTCATCTTACTTAGCCAATGTCACAGTGATGATAAACTGTATTTTGACAATTCCTATATCATACAATGGAAGCTAGTGTGAAAAATATCTTAGAAACATTGGACTCCTGCTTTTGAAGGCCCATAATGAAAATATTTGTTTCCTTTATACCAGTAGGACTTGTGGTACCCCCCGCCCCCCCCCAAAAAAAAACCCACTGCCGTCAAGTCAATTCTGACTCATAGTGACTCTACAGGAGAGTAGAACTGCTTCATAGGGTTTCCAAGGAGCGCCTGGTGGATTCGAACTGCCGACCTTTTGGTTAGCAGCCATAGCTACTAACTACACCACGAAGGTTTCCAAAATACTAATACAGGGGTGGTGAAATCTCTGATGATTACCAGGCATTGCACCAGAAGAAACTTAAACCAAGACTCCACTGGTATGCCTTATGTAAAACGCATCATGATCAGGACCATTTACCTTTAAAAGGTGTGGGAATGTGTAGGGAATCTCATTGTCTTCTTTCTGCAGTTATTTCTTATAAAATTGTTAACTCCTTTCCATGGAGTTTAGAGAACTCACTCCACAGAAAAGTCACCCAATGAGATCTCACTGGAGACCCCTTTTCCCTCTGAGCTTGGGTAAACATTACACTACGTACAAGTCCAGAAGTTGTTTAGAGGTTTCCCAGAGGCTTTTCCAGGTCTGCTTCAGAAGGAAGACCGATCTGGAGCCCACCAACTCAGATCTTTCATGTAACTGCTGGCAGAAGTGTCCAAACCCAGATTATATAAATCCATTAGGGTAGAGATGAGGTCATTTCTGTTTTTTCCAAGCTGTACCGCATCTAGTGACATAATCACATTAGCCAAGAGCAAAGAGCCAGATACCTCATTTACATCATGGCACTGGAATCTCTGCTAGCGATGCCAAAAACTAAGACAACAGTCATTATAGCAGCCTTGTTACTGAGGCTCACAAGACCTATGACCCAGAACCTCTAAAATTTCCGTAGCTATAAAAAAGCTATTAAATTTACATATATGATATGATGGTAGTACTTAAACAAAACAAAACAACAAAACTGGAGGCATTTTATAACTAAACAATTTTATTGGCTTTTTGTGAAATAGAAAACACAAAACAAACCACCATGGTTAAAGGCCATAATCAGCATCAACCAAATGAACCAGCCACTTGGTCACAGCAGCTGATAACAAACACTAATGGAGATTATTGCTTATACACCAGGTTCATTTATACGTCCATTACGTTTTGGCAAGATTACAATCAAATGGGAGCTTTGGTTGTATACATTCAACTATAACTACTCATTGAAAACTTAACCTGTACCATTTTCTGATGGGATCTATGACAATTCTTCCTGAGTCTTGATGTTTATCCTCTCATTCTGTCTTCTTTCTCTTTTCTTTAATGATTTGCAACTCTACTTACCAAAAATTAAGGTAGATACACTTCCAGCCATCTCTAGTCTACTGCTCCCTCCTTTGTCATGGGAGGGTGATGCATTTCGGTCCTCTCCAAGCTCTTACATCTAGTATGTTCTACGGCCAGTAATAAATGCCTATCTGTAATCTAGAGAGATTTTCAAATGCACGTGGCTGTCAAATTGGGGTTTGGACTCAACTGTCTCCTTTCCAACTTCTAAAAAGCTGGAAAATATAAAAACAAAATCAACAGACTTTAGCATCAGTAAGTTGAGCTACCAACAGAATGAGCCCTAGTCCAGCCACACAACCTCCCATGGCAGTTATGGAGCTATAGCCTTAGAAGGCTCTGCATGCTTGCAGTAATATGTTCATTTACAGAGAAGCAATGGTTGACTTGCCTCTTAAAATCTTCTCCACTCAACACATTCTATTTTAACACTGAAAACTCAGAAAGACAAAGGGTCAGAACTAATTCACAATAGCACCATTTCCTAGACTCTTGCGATAAGAAATTCCTTTCTTTGTTGGAGAATGCAGGGACCCTGAACAACTCAGCCTCCAGCTTTGTGCTTTCACAGGCCCTACCGATTTTCGGCAGGAGTGAGGGGGTCTGTCTTAGCCTCCATCTGCAGCGATGTGAATTTTCCCTGGGAAGAATTAAAAATACGTATCTTACAAAGTGAAGTTGGCCACAGGTGAGAGACCTGAGGAAGCCTGTTTCCGGTGGTGAGATGTGACAAGCCTGAAAACGGTAGGATGGCGTCCGTGAACCTGTCCCTTGTCCATCTCAGTTCAAGTCGGTGGAGAATCTGTATGCAGAGCATGGCAAGATCAAGGAATACTGAAAGACATATACCCTAATACCGCCATCCAAACACCAATGCTTTAATTGTATCTTTTGTATTCAGGTCCACCAGTGAGTTTGCCCTGGATAATGCTGGGATTTAATAAGCCCTTCTAATGATTATAAAGATTATCCTTTTTAATCTAGACATGTTAAACAATAGAATATCTGATATCACTATATTTTACATGGCACATATAACCATATAATTACTAGCACTTACACAGCAAATATTGTAAATACACATTTCTTGGAGTTGACTTGGTAATTATACTGACGTTATTCTCAGAACAAAGATTAAACACTCTCTAACTTGCAGTTTGGGGAATTTCATTCCAACCCTTCCCTTCCCAACAAAAGGATAACCCTCTAATTTGTAGTAATACCTCGGTGGCCATGTGACCTAAGAGTTTCAACTTAATCACAGGACGACTTCATGGTTAATTTGTGGCCTGTAAAATAAAGTAATACATAGTATTTTCATTTCAACAAAATACAAGAGACCATATAAAAATATTTTCCAGTTTGGAATTTGAGACATGAAAGCTGGATTTTTTTTTCTTTGTATAAAAAGAAAGGAAATAACGGACTAAAGTTTATTAAGCCTCCTAACAAAAAAATAGATCTATTAGTTTAAGGAATGCAGTGAGCGTCAGCTTCCCTTTTTGTCCAGGCTCATTGGTGGTGAGCTTGTGCTTTGATCCTAACAAAGATAAATGCACAAAAGTGGAGGAAGATCAGTGCCTGAAACCTGAACTACATCTTATCTCTAATAATAAGACTAATTTTACAGTAGTGCTTGTAAAAGTGGTGCATCAGATTACTGATTTTTTTTCTCTCTTCCTCCTCAGGCAACTGCTGGTGATGAATTCCAGAAACACCACTTCCGTCTAGAGCGATGTTTATTTAGTGCAATGTCTTCCTTCTCTCGTTCCCTTTTCACACGCTGGTAGTGGTCTTCTTCCTTCAGATACCACACAGGGGGCCAGCGGTGTCGCTCAAAGTATTCCTGGTTTTCTAGTGACAGAAAGACACTGATGATAATACCTACGGTTCATTAATTGCTTCTATGTGTTATGCCCTGTGCTTAATGCTTCTCATATACTATTATCTTACATGTCCTCTCAACTACCTGACGTGGCAGGGACTATGATCAGGACCATTTGCAGACTGAGACACGAAAGTTTTAAGAGGTACAATCACTTGCCTAAAGTCATACAGCTGGGCACAGAGAACCTGAACTGGGACTACCTGATTTTAAAGTCTAAGCTTTCTCTTAACCATGCCTCCCTGGACAAGGGTGAGCCAACAACCTCAGAATGCTTTGAAGCAGGGCACCTTGAACCCCAGTCCACCCAAATCTCCCAAGCATGAAGTTCTCCAAAGAGAATTTCTGACAATCCCCAGTGACATGTCACTTGGATATGTGACCACCAGCCAGTCACAAAGAATTTTCTATGAGCAGCCTGCAGTCCACGCTCCTTCTCCAGGGCATGGAAAGTGAACACTTCAGTCAGCAGTGAGGATAGCGGGACAAACGGGGGCCACGTATAGTCTCACCTGGAGATTTTGATTTGATTTCCTTGCGGAACTTGGAACAAACACTGTTGTAGTTGGTGCAGATGTGGTGCAAACACCAGGCGGCCAGTTGGTGGGCATTGTGAAACTGCAGGGGAGTGACCAAAAGGGGGTCAGGCTCTATTTTCTAAAGTAGGGTTACAAAGACACAGGAAGCCATTGCAGGGGTGAAAAGAAATAAAGAGCCTCTATAACTAATTCTGTAAACCTCTTGTTTTAATGACAGTGTTTTTCACTTTGGCTATGGCTGCTGGTGCCAGCCAAGTATAGTGTTTGGCACACTCCTCCTTCACCCCATGACAGATACACCAAAAATAATCACTGCATCAGATCAGGAGTTTAAATCATGCCTTGCCTCCCACCCTCCCCCACCGCCTGGCCCTCTGGTGCTAAGTAAACATGGTAGCTTCCAGAAGGCACCAGCTAACAGCAGAAAGCAGTAGTGTCATCTCTGTTTAAGGAAGCCTCAGGAATGGAATACTCTGTCACATGTCAGAGCTCAGCTGCTGGGGCCAAAGATCCGAAAGAGGAGACTGCGGAGCGTGTGACTGTCCTATACCTGTCCTTTCGGTTACATAAGAAGAGCAGGCTGTGTGGGTAGGGTGGGAGGGATCCCAACACTTGCACGCCTTCTTTCTGAGCAGACAGATACTCAGGGAGGTGGTAGCTGAGGCAGCTGTGACTGAAAAAGACCCGATCCTCAAAAATTGACAGGCAGACCCATATCCCCCTCCCTTACCCGCAATTTGGCACAGCTGCCCCTCGCTCCTTGCATCCCTGCCCTTCCCAGACATCCATCCTGTTGTCTTTTGCTCTTGATGTTTCTTTGATCTAGTAAAATTCTGGAAACTACAGTGTGGTTGTCTCTGGGGCCCGCATCTCCATGGCCAAACGCCAATATAAAAGCCACAGTCTTCAGAACTGATTCAAGGAAGTCCCAGAATCACAACCCCAAACACCGAAGACAGTCATAAACTGTCCCCTGGGCTTGTTTCAAAAGACCCCAAATTCTAAGTGTGGACAACCAGTTCTGATGGGGGCTTGCTGATTCTACTGCAATAGATGTTTATCCTCAATTTTAACTGGACCCCTGTTAGACTGTTTATCACACTGGACTTTCATAATTTCCACTCATCTAATTTCCCCCACTGGCTTGTGACTGCCTTGAGAGCAGAGAGAGGACAAAGAAAGACAAATCTAAGAAGCAGAAGAAAAGACTGAAGAGTTTGTTCTTAGTTCCCTTAGAATGTAAACCCGTTGTCTATAAGTCTATGCTAGAGACTAAAGAGTCTTGCGTATGTTCCTTGCATTATGACAGGGCTTTTGACTCTTCAGTGCTCTTTTCTGAACATTCTCTCTTACTTGGTTCTCAAAATAACCTGTAAGTTTGGTAGGGTGTGAAGTCACCACTCTCATTGCTTCTGGATGAGGAAACTGAGGCAGGGTTTAGCTTTTTACTTGGAGTTAAGTTATTCAGTGCCGAAGCTGAAATTGGGTCTCTATCCCCTCTGAAGGAGCCCTGGTGGCACTGTGGTTAAGAGCTTGGTTGCTAACCAAAAGGTCAGCACTTCAAATCCGCTAACCGCTCCTTGGAAACCCTATGGGGCAGTTCTACTCTGTCCTATAGCGTCATTATGAGTCGGAATCTACTCGACGGCAACTTTTTTTTTTTTTAATCCCCTCTGGAAGAAGGGTGCAAATGTGTGTATTGAGATCACAGAATCACAGTATCAATATTAACAAACCCTGATTTTAGAAAATGCCAGAAAAGCTGCAGTGAAATGTGTGGGCATTGCAGGCCTTCATGGAATTCTAGAAATGGACTGGCCTTGGTCAATACATGTCCAAGAATTCAAGAAGAAATTCAAAGGAGGAGAGACAAAACCTTCCCCTAGCAAGCCCCAAGTGGTTCTCCCACATGTGAAGCTGGTGCCTCAGGGGACGATGGGGCTGGTGTGGGGGTGGGGTCCTTGTTGCTTTTTCAAAGGAAGCCCAGCAGGGTGAATGGTAGATGAAATGTAAAACTCTCAGATCTTCTCAGTGTACACAGGGGGCCTCTGTGACTCAGTGGTGACATCTTTATTTAGACAGATGCAACAAAGGAATGTTTTATCAGCATTGAAGCAACTGGCTGAAAACACTTAAAAGGTAAAAAGCAAATTGTTACAAACCTGGGCTAATTCCAAATAAGAGAGCACTTCCCCATCAATGCCCACACCACTCATCGCGGCCTTGGTCAGCTCCTGCACAGCATGCTGCTCTGAGAAAGAGAGAGGAGCAGGAGAAAGTTAAACAGCACCCAGCAAGCCAGGCATCTTGTGTGGAGGGTGTGGTCTGGGACCACCTAAGAGGGAAAGGAGCATGGCTCCCAGCTCTGGGCAGCCATCTGAATTTAATCCAGGACCCATTCTGATATGCGGCCTTTCAGTACACAGTTCTTAGTCTCCAGCCATTGCACTGAGTACTCTGGGGACTCTTGTTCAAACTTCTGAAATAGCCAGACTCCTCCGGGCCTGCACTGTCCAGTATGGTTAACCACTGGCCACATGTGGCTATTTAAACTTAATTAAAATGAAATAAAATTAAAAATTCAGTTCCTCAGTCACACTAGTCACATTCCAAGTACTGAATAGCTGTATGTGGCTACCCTACTGGATAGCACAAATAGAGAACATATCCATCACTGTGCAAAGTTTTATTGGACTGTGCTGCTGTAGACATTCTAGCACCTTCCCACAATTCTCTAGGCTCTCTAGCACCTTCCTGTTTGACAGTTTTCCACTCACATATGTACAGCTGTCAATAATGAGGTCTTAAAAACGTGAATGTATACGTCTGTCTCCACAGGGGTTGATGGATGACATAATAATCAACTTCTTGGATTCTAAAGGCCAGGGAGACTTTCAGCCAGAAGTAACAGAAGTCCAGTTTGGATGAGCCCTTTCTGCTTGGGAGCTTGTGTACAAGGCTTCCAAAGTGAATTTAATTGTGGTTCTCCTATCTCCTTGTGGGCTGTCACTTGTCTCTGGGATTGACCTGTGTATATAGTCTCCGTCCGCATTTCTAGGTCCTAGACGTTGGTATTATTTTTCTCTTGCACTGCTTCTATTCTTCTAATCCACTATATTGTCCACATCAACACTATTTCCTGCTTTGGCTCTATCTACAACACTACTTCCTGCTCTGGCTCTATATACTCGTTAGTCAGTATATCTGGTCAATATGGTATCTGGATTTGGCACAATTCCTCAGTTGGGCTGACAAACACAGTATCATTTAGAATTAAATTTCCCAGAAAAATCACCTGGGCTCTTTAATTTTAGGTAACTGCAACATTTCTTGATATTCACTTAGCACTTTAACTTGCAGAGAATTTTCATCCCAGAAACTGGTATTTAAATACTGTGAGGCTTGATGGGAGAAAGACTTGGAGATCTGCTTCTGTAAAGACTACAGCCAAGACAACCCTATGGGACAGTTCTACTCTGTCACATGGGGTTGCTATGAGTTGAAAACGACTCTACAGTACTCAACAACAACAATAACAATGCTCTAAACACTCCGAACACTATAAATGATTAGGGAATCATCTTGAGAAGTTGTATATTAAATAATAGCAACAGTAATAACACCATTTCATAACTGAATACAGGTAGAGCTCTGTAGTTTACACAAAAAGCTTTCATAGGGTTAAACAAAACAAAACAAAAAAAACCATTGCCATCAAGTCGATTCCGACTCAGGTGTGGCTGGTGGATTTGAACTGCTGACATTTTGGTTAGAAGCCTGAGCTCTTAACCATTACTGTTAACAAAAAAAAAACAAAAAACCTTTCATGGGAAAATCAGTCCCATGTTTTTATAGTCATACTTAATGTTTACATAAAAATGGCACTATTCAGAGACTGGTCACAACCTTGTTCAACAGATTTGGCTTCAAATTACTTTTGATATTTCAAAAAATCAAATAAAGAAGCAAAAAACAAAACCAGAAAAAACCTTGAAACGACTATGGATGATCAAATGGATTGGAATTCATACTTCGGAAAAAAGGAATTGCCCACTAGAACCTCCTGGAATTAGTATTTGAAAAGCAGCACACTCATCTGCATCTATAGCTTTAGGCGTATTGTTTAAAAACGGTTTTAAAAAAAATCTAATAGCGAAGCTTCAAACAGCTTTTTCTACCCAGTTGGGGAAGAAGTAGGGAGAGGAAAAGACTTTGAGTTCCAGGTGGTTGTGTGTAATGAAAATCTGGAGTTCAGAGAAATAAATATTTTTTTGTAAAGACATTGCCATGAAGTCAAGTACAAATGGGGCTGATTGATTTGTTCATTCATTTTCATTAATTTTATTCATTAATTCAATTATTAAACAAGTATTTATTGAGACTATACTCAGGCACTTTTCTATGTGCAGGGGATAAACAAGTGAACAAGACGGACACTGTCTCTGCTTTCATGATTAACAGCAGTCAACTAAATGTAGCAATAAAAACCTAGGTTGCTGACACCTCTGGTGAATGAAACTGAAGGTTTAAATTCAAGAAAAAGGTATTTTAGTGCACGTATCCTTTATAGACCTGCCTTAGCTTACCAACTGAACAAATCCAGGCTTCGGCAAGTTAAGCCAAGTCTCCCTTTTTTCCTTTTTCCCAAAATGAACTTAACAATGTCAGAACATTCTCTAAAACAGCTTTAAGAAAACCACTTACATAATGCTTACTATGTGCCAGACAGTGTTCGAAGGACTTTATATATTTTAACTTATTTAATATTCATAACAGCTCTCTGTTAAGTAATACCATCCCCATTTTAAAGAGAGAGAAAGCTGAGGCACAGAGTGGTTAAGTAAATTACAAAATCCTAGCAAATGGTGGAGTCAGGATTTGAACCCAGGCAACCTGGCTCTGCAGCCTCTGCTCTTAACCACTGCATTCTACTGCCTTTTTCTTAAAGACCGCCTTTGACCGCACACTATGTGGATAACATTGACAGAATAGTTTTATTTCAAATTCTATGGTCCACAAATGATTCCGCATACATACAGTGTGCGTCCTTGAGGGCAGGGATCATGCATTACTCATCTTAATATTTGCATCAGCTAACAGGGCCTACCACAAAGTAAGTGCTTGAGGAATGTGTGTCGAATTGAACTGGACTGTCTTATACACTTGATCCATTCATATCACCCTGAACAAGACAGTCCTATTTTGGGTAAAGGGAAAAAAAAAAATTTTTTTTTCTTTTTATTCCCTGGAAATCTTATTTTTGTTTAAATGTGATTTTGATAAATATGACAGTCAGACACTGCATGGCCCCGAGTCACAAGGCTTACCTGCAAGTGCAACCAAGTGTGGCAGGCAAAATCTGTTTGCCAAGGCAATTAACTCCAGGGGGTCCAGGTCCAAGGTAGGTGACAACTGCTTGGTATAGAGGTAATCCAAAACCGCTTGCATTGACATCTTGTTTATGTTCGGGAGATAGACCTGCAATGTTATTTCAAAAGCTAAGTTCTGCTGAAGAAAGCAAAGAGTGGGTGCATTTCAGGTTATGCTGCTTATAAATACCCCAACTATGTGATTTGATATCGGTGAGTCTGTGATACCTGCTCTGAGGCTGAGCAGTCACTCAGTATTTACAGCTTTAAACATAACAATTTGATTTGTAGATGATAAAACAGTGGGCTTGCCTGACAAAGCCTGATTTGGAATTTTTAAATGGCTATTTGGACTTATAAATCAGACAAATGGGCTGTAAATGTATGATGACATTACAGGTCCTCCTTGCCAAGTACATTACAATACTCTGTTGTGGGGAAAGAAATCTCCTAGCAACATGACAGGTGTTGGAGGAGCTGCAGACCACACTGTTGCCAAAACATGATACAGCCCAGCTCTCTAAAATGTCAAAATAGGGGATGAGCAACAGTCCTAGTTGCCATAGGGACTGGCTTGATTTCGATGTTCTATCAGAATATACTAGCATGACGATATATGTACGTTATTTTTTCCTATGGTATAACCACACAGATTCAGAACTACTGGAATATTATCAAGTATCAGATTCAGAGAATCCAGGGGAATCCTTGCTTAGGACATCTGAGCGAGTAGTGTGTTGGGTGTGGTGAATTGTCCCCAATAAGATTCCTCCAGTCTCCCTCTGGAGTACCTGCAGTTGTTTTCCATACAAAAACATGCTAGAATTTTCTAGAGAGCTAGGGACTGCTTGGGAACTGAAATTCTGGATGGTTGGGCATGGGCCAATGGGGATGTTCACTGTATAGCAGCTAGTCTTCACTATAGATCTCTAAATGACTCCATGAGACAGGCCCTTGTATGGAATAGAGTGGTATCATTGGTGTTTACTATTGGAATGACAATGATTATAGAAATTAATCTTAACTGAAGGCCTTCTATGTACTAGGTACTGCGTTAAGCTTTCTACATGAACTATCTAATTTGGTCCTTATATCCTTCCTAGGAGAAAGAAACTATATATTTTTTTCCATTTTACAGATAAGGACATTGAGATTCAGGCAGGTTAAATCCCATGTCCAAGGTCACAGAGCTAGTAAGTAGTGACAAGGATTTGAATCCAGAGAGTATAATTCTAAAGTCTGTGTTCAGAACCACTGTGCAGTACTGGAAATCCTTAATGGCAAGGAAGCTAAGGTTTGGGTTACAGTACAATGAAGTACCACGTGTCACTAATATATTTAAGAATTAGATTTCCAAGTTCAAAGGGATGAACCATTATAAACTTCTTATTTCTGGTACTTTATAAACATCTACATATAAAGTATTTTATATATATAGTAATGATTTCTTTGATATATAGCATTATATATATGCATTTTATATATATGTATATACATAAACACTATATAGCATTATGTATATAATAGGTATAGATGCTATACAGTGTGTATATATAATGTATATATGTGTATATATAATGTTATATAGTGTGTGTGTAATATATGTATATGTGTGGAGAGAGAGACAGACAGATAGATATAAAATCGCACTCTACCAACAAGGGGCTCATGGCCAATACATTGTAGTGGTGTGGATCCAGAATTGTTTAAGCTATTTCAACATTCTATATCCTCCTCCTACTCATTCTCCAGCCACCTCAGACAGGGAATGCCCTCTCTGCCAGGTAGAGATGGCCCCTAATGTATCATAGGGAAGGCCCAGAAAAATGCCTAAAAATAATAAAGAAATAACCCCTTTCAGACATAGTGAGAACAATAATTAGGATTACACAAATAAGCTGAATGGGTCATTACCATCAATGATTTGACAAGTGTGGTCGTTTCAAGTTTCCAGCACAACCTCTATAATAGAAAGACTTCAGAAAGTGGAAGCTATTACTGATACTATTTTAAAGAAACCATTGTTCATGCTGGATCATCTACAATATACAGATGTTGGAACGTTCCTCCTTCTCAACCAGCTGTATCTACATACTAAAAACTGCTATTAAAGTGAACCTAACATGACTTATACTTGTGTGTATGCTTACATCCGTGTATGTTTACATATACATGCACTTATTTTATACAGACATGAATATATTTATAGACACCCATATAAACTTATTCGTGTATAGGAACACATGGTAAAATTTTATTTCTGTAAAATGGTGTTTGGATTACTACAATTTTCCAGATAACTGAACGTTAATTAAGCTGTGAATCTTTGAAATTTGAACCATTTTGACAGTGAAAGTGCATTTTGCAAACTGCTGAGTGCTATAAATTGTTAGTAATTGGTAATATAAATCCCAGAGATCCCTCTCCTAAACATGGGAATGTTTGCTGTTTCTCAAACAATGGCTTGGATGATAAGGCCAGTGCCTAAGTCAGGTTGGGGGATGTATCACTAAAATGCTGTGTGACCTCTGACAAATCACTCACCCTCTCTTCCCTTCAAAGCTATCATCTGTCACATAGGAGGAGTTTGGAATGGCTGATATGTAAAGTTTTTTTTTTTTTTCTCCTTCTTCACTGAGACCCTGGGTTTGAGGCTATTCAGATTACCTTAACAATTTTTGGCAGGAGTATGTACTAAGACATTGCTTAAAAAAAAAAAAAAAAAAAAAAAATCCTATTAGTAATATAAATGGTCAAATGGACATTCTAAATGAAAAGAAATCACTTCTGGCAGCAGAAGACAGATTCCAGCAGGCAGCCCTGCCTCAATCCTCCCAATGTCCTTGGGGTGTGCTGACGCTTGTAATCACCCATGACCTAACTGTTTACTTCTTGCTTAATATATCTCTATCATTTTTTTTTTTAAAGCTATGGCTCTTTTTGGCAAAGAATTTTAGGGACCCTGAGAATTAACCAGCGAAAGAAAATAAGCTCCCAATACTTTCAGAGCATACATTTTCTTCTCCTGGTAGATTTCTTAAAAAAAGCCTGTTCCTGCAATTTCAACCTTTGTCATTAACTTCACAACAAAAGAGAGAACATTTTATAGCACTTTAAAAATAATATAAATAAAGCTACCTAAGAAATGGAATTAAACATTCTGTATCCTACCTGCTAGAGGTAGCTTTAAAAAAAAAAAAAAGTAATGAAAGAGAACAACCCTAAACAATGTCCCATATTCCAGTTTAGCTGGTTTAAAATTTTAATTGTGAAGATCAGCACAGGCTATTAGGCTTAAAATTAGAGACGGTCTCAGAGAAGGAGAGTATTCTAGATCCAGAGCATTGCTTACTACAACCCGAGCATGCATTTTTAATAAACCACTTGCTGAGCGCCTCTGGGGAGAGAATTATGCTTACTGTTACATTAAAAGTATTGAGAAAAATATAAGCGAAATACAGTGTCTTCTTGAATATTAAATGACAAAAATGTCTAAGTAATATCAATGGGCGTATTTTATTCTTTTCTGGATGTAAACATGATTTCTATTAATGCCACAACAAATAGGTTAAATTTTGTGGGGGACGTCAGATTTTCACAAGGCAATAAAGAGTTAAAAGGTGGGCTGGGAAGGACAAATCCCAAATGTGAACACAGTCCTCAATCAATCATGGAGTACTTATTGAGAATTTACCGAGTGTTCCACCCTACCCCGATAACCACTTCTACTATGCTTTCCTCTTTTCAAAAGGGGACTGCGGACTTTTTAACTTAGGGCTTTCAGGGGACAAAGATCTTTATTCTCTCATAGGAATAATTTAACAAGAATAGTCTATGAGGATAGTCTAACATATATCGAGCATTCATATGTAGATGCCTTACATGTGTACTCTCGTGCCCTGTCTGCCCTATGAAGAAGGTACCCTTGTTATCACCATATTACAGATGAGGAAACTGAGACTTACGGACAGTCATTTACCCAAGGTCAAACTAGAAAGATCCGAGATAAGAGTTTATAACTACTATACTGTACAGTTCACCCTGGAAATTAAAAGAAGAGATGGGGTGGGCAGAATGTCAAGAGCTCAAGGCTTTCTTCAAAAAAAAAAAAAAAAAAATTTTTTTTTCTTTTTTAAATTCTGGTAAAATATATACAACATAAGATTTGCCATTTTAACCATTTTTAAGTGTACAGTTCTGTGGCTCATGGCATTCTTAATAGATTGGCTAAAGAAACTTTAGCCTAGATCTTCCGATGCTTGGTTCCTTGGTCTTTGTCTTTTGAGTTCAGTTGATCTATACATACCTATTAGCTTCAGCTTTACAGTACTAACTGGTGAGTGAGCTAGTCTTTCTTGGGTAGGAGGGTGTGTTAAACAGGTGACTGTCTCCAGGAGAGGTTACTGAACAACATATACATGTGCAATCACATTTGCTGCTAAGTTTTTGTTTTGGTCACCTCTACTGCACATTTTAATCTGGAGCCGATTACAGTCCATTCTGGGAAGGGATAAAGGGGATTAGCATTCTGACAGTGTCTCTTTGTGCCTGGGTTCCTGACCTAGATCAACTTCTCTCTGCTCAGTTAATAGCAGGCCCTCTGCAGCACAATCAGCACATATTTTAGTGAGCTGGAAAAGTAAGGGAAGCAAGCCTCCAAGCTCTTTATCTCTGGAGATTTCTGAAGTGGGAGAAATGCAAATTGGATGAAGTTTGACTAATCAGTGGCTATCCCAATTTTTTCTTGGAAGAGGGGAAAAAATACCATCACCACCACTGGACAGCAAAACAAGGCTAGCAGCAGCTACCATTTATCTAATGCTTACAACATGCTTTGCAAGTACTGACTCTTACACCTCACAGCCACACTACGGGGTGGGTATTCTTCTTATCGTACTTTTTATTATGGGGAGACTGGAGCTCAGAAAGGTTAAGTCACTTGCTCAAAGCCACAGAGCTTGTAAGTGGAGGAGCTATGATTCCATCCCAACAGCCACCTCACTGGACTCTGCTAAGCTGTAGTAGTCTCGGTAACAAGGCTCCACGTATGGAAATACCTGTGACTACACAGGAGAGCCTTCAATTAGTTACAGGTGAGAACCTCATGGCTATTGAAGATTATTAGACACCAGAAGAGGTCATCCAATTACTGCTGACATCTTTCCTCCAAACAGCTGACAGCCCTTTGCTGGGGTTGGTTTAGGAGCAGCTGCAGTTTGTTCTGGAAGTGGAAAGGTGGCCTAGTGACCATCCTAGGCTTGTGATTCTAGGATTATGTTTCCCTACTTGGGAATGCAAATGCAGGCTCCTGGGTCACAATGTGAGTGCTCAGATTTCTGATGCAAGCGCCCCTTTTGAAAAGTTACTGTTTTCTGTATTTAAAAGTTTGGAGAGATGCTGAGATAATCAAAACAAGTCTCTCAGGACAATAAACTTGATGGGGTGTCCCCATTTTTTTTTTTTTTTAAAGATAGTTCATAAATGCTCACAAAACCCAACAAAAATGCTTGCTCACTCTAAGACTACAGGTAGAGGTGCTTGGATGGAATTTTTTTTCTCTCTTTCCAGTAGAACTTGTAAAAAATGAGGATGCAGGGTGTCCAAGACAATGCTGGCTCTGCTCTGCTAAAAATATCCTTCATTTGGTGATGGGGCCAGCATCTGACAGGAGATTCAGCTGTTTCTACTAGATCTCAATACTTCAGAGGAGCAGTCATTTGCTCCATAACTATTTTCTTACAGTTACTATACCCTCAGTCCTAGGATCCCCTCAACACAAGCAGACAAGGCAAGCCAGGGCAGAGCCTGGGGTAGGGGGGGAGTATTAACAGCCTCAGGGTGTGAGGTAAGTTAGGGCATACCTCATTATACAGATGAGGAGACTGAGGCACAAGTATGTGGCTTTTTAAGAGCTCCCATCTGGTGAGGGACAGAGCTGAGTCCAGGAGTAAGTGCCTGAAGAATTCATTTTCCTGAACTCCTGAGGACAGGCTCTGCCCTCCCTGTACTTGATTTTGATAGTATCTTGCATTGTAACGTTTGTTAAAAAGTATAGATGACCATGTCTTCATGGGACAGGAGAGCTGCAAGGATGGAAGGATATTAGGCATGCAATGCTCTTAGGTACTTACATATAATAAGTGACCAATAAATAATAGCTTCTCCTAACTGTAGAATTAAGAAAAGGGTGACCTAATATTCAAGTACTGCCTTGAGAACCATTTCATGAAAGCAGTTAAAAAAATTAAAGTCATCTGAACAATTAAACAGTTTATATAAGCACACACACAGGGCACATAAAGATACCACTTAGGTTTTAGAAAGGCACATACCTCGCTATTGGCGCTTTCCACGAACGACCCTCCAAACATGGCGGCCATCCACTCGCAGCTGCAGATCAGCAGCGGCTTGTGGGCACTGATGGCTCCATCATCCAATTTAAATGTCACCTCTGCCAAAGGATTGAGGAAACACATCCATAAATCAGCCTCAAGGAGGTAAACCAGGCTTCTGCTCCACCCATATTCAACCCCTATTTTCAGCATACCCAATTCTCCCACTGTTCTCCAAGAATTAATGAGCAAGCATTTAAAATCACACATAAAGTCACAACACAAATTCTCCAAACCACAAAGTAACAGAAAGAAGTGGAATAATTTTTCCCTCCTTCTTACTATGAAAAATTTCAAACACGCGGGATTGTGGAACAAATATTACAATGAGAACTTATCTGCCCACTGCCTAGATTCAATGATTATTAACCTTTTTCCATGTTTCCTTCGGTTATATTTGTATTTATATATATATATTTATATATGTGTGTGTGTATATTTTTTTAAAGCTAGTATGGCACTTCCCTCCTAAATAGCATGAATTTTCTAAAAATATGAACATTTCCATAAATAATCATACTATTATTAGACCTAAGAAAGTAAACAATAATTCACTAAAGCATTCACTATCTAGTTCATATTCAGATTTCAACAATTATCTCTAAACTGTATTTTATACCTTTTTTTTTTTTTAACAGAATCCAGTTGAGGCTCACACACTGTATTTGGTCATTATGTTTCTGCAATAAGGAGAGTGATTTAATCAACTTTACTTAAGGTTCATTGCTTAATTTACTGTAGGTATGTAACATTTTGTTTTCATTAACTTTCAAGACTGACTACACCCTGATGGTCAGTGTTTGGAGTAAATGATATACTTGCAAGCTTTAAAATTAATTAACAGACTCAGTAAGCACCTACTAAATATACAGTACCGTGGCAGGCGTTATGAAAGATAAAAGACAAAAACAGGGGTATCTATATAATAGAAGTCAGAAGTTAAATTTTTACAGTGAAATACATTAACACACATGCACGCACACACACACACACACACAAAATCAGATGGTAATTTCAAACAAAAATGAACAGGGCCATGTGTATAAAATAGTACCAGCATTAGTCAGTAACTCATACTGGATACACGCCACCAGTGTGCTTTGGCAATTATGTAGGGGCACTGTGAGCAGCATATGGCACAGTTAACAACAAACAAAGAAGGGACAAGAAAAACATGGAAGAGCACGGCAAAGAAGTGTGACAACAGAAAAAGACAAAGTCTGGAAACAGATGAAGCACCCTGGACGGGAATGCAGAGGGCTGTCATTATTGCTACAAGGACTTCAGTGGCCTCAGGACCAGAGGTCATTGATTTTTGATATGGGTAAGTACTGAAAGGTCAATGGAGAATGGAGTTGGTCAGGGAAGGCATCCTGAAGGTGAATTTTAAGCATCAAGCAGACTGAAGATAGGCTTAAGAGTAACCTGACCTATCCTGAGAGGCAGCCAGATGCCATGGTGGTTTAGGAACCAGTTTCTGCAGTCACAAAAGCTTGGATTCAAATCCTGGTTCTACCACTTACTACCCGTGTAACCATGGGCAAGTTACCTAACCTCTCTGTCCCTCAGTTTCCCCATTTGAAAACTAGAGATAATAATATTTAACTCTTATGTCTGATGATGAGAATTAAATAAGTTAATACATGTAAGGTACATACATTAAACATTAGCTATGTTATTCTTTTTCCTCCATTATGTTTGGCTAATACATGATAAAATACACTTGAAAGTTTCGAAAACTCTGTCACGGGGCCCTCTCACCTGAGAATGTCCCCTTGCTGAGACACTCTTTTATCCGATTGGCTTTCCTGACGTGAAATGCTTTTGTAATCTCCTGGTTCATGAAGGCTTCTTTGTTCATGATGTTTTCCACCATCATCCTCAAGTCAAACATCTCCAGGACCTCCGCAATTTGAGCCAGGCCCACTAAATCCTTTTCCTTTTCATCCAGCTGCCCCGTATAAAGAAACTGGAGCAGGGTTCGGAAAGGGCCTGGCTGCACTGAAGAGTCCATCCTGACCACAGTCACAGGGCCCACCCGCTTTGAAATGGGGTTGACTTGCATTTCCTTGTGCATGCCAACAAACCCCTTACTCCATCCGGACAAAGCCTGCATCTCCGGAACCGAGACCTCGGCTTCCAGCCCCAGAGGCTCCAGCAGGCCCTTGCTGGAGGACGTACACTGATCGGCCGGAGGTGGCCTCAGGGTGCCCTCCTCCCTTTCCTCATCCGGGTCAAGACTCAATGTCCGCCGCTGGAAATCCCTGCCCTGCTTCTCTTTCTCACAAGCTCCTTCACCCCAGTTTGGGGAGTCTTCACATTCCATCAAAAAAAGATCATAGAATTTGGAAGAGGAGGTAGCGAGGTAAATTCGGTGTGCAAAGATGTGCTCCTCGTCTTGAAGGATGAACAGTACATCTGCACACAGAGGATTGTTCAGTAAACAGGCAGCTTCATTCGTCCAGGTGGTGGGACACTCAGGAATTTTGATGACAGGTGGAGGGGCTTTTGGAGGTAGGAATGGTGCCTGAAGTAAAGGTTTCTGAACTTTCTTTAAGTGGGATTTCCAGAACTGCAAGTGACGGCGGGAAATCAGGGCTGCTCGGATAGCATTGTCAAATACATCCTTGATTCCAAACTGGTCAAACACACTCGTTTCATAGTATGGTATGCCCAGTTCCTTTGCAACCTCTCGACCTTTTTCTGGGGGCAAAATATCCTCTTTTTTTATGGGCCTGAAATATAATAGTTTAAAGATTATAATTAGCCTTATTTTAGGTGAAAAAAAGCAACCAGGGCTTACCTAAGCACCTAATTGGAGTATACATTTAAAATCCTATTCGGGTTTTTAATAAGGACCTTGAAAAATGTACTACCAACCGCAAGTCTTTCCAAAAGAAGAAGTTATGACTGCAGGGAAAAAAAAAAAAAAAATGCTTTCAGTAGTAACCACAGTAACTGAAGTATCATCCATTCACTAGCTGTTTGATCTGGGTCAAGTTACTTAAACTCTTTAAGCCTCAGTTTTCTCATCTTTAAAATAGGAATAACAATATAAGCATACTTACATCTTAAAGAACTATTGAGAGGTTTAAATGGAATAATTTGAGAAAAGTACTCAGCATAGTAGCTGGTCCAGTGTTGGATAAATGTTAGCTGTTATCATCACTATTACCACCAGCATCATCTTGATCATCATCACCATCACCTTGTGCTAAAATTATGCTTCATAACTTTTAAAATGAATCCACATACATTTTCTCATTTAAGCCTTACAATAACCCTATGAGGTATTATTTTCATTCTACATTCTTGAGGAAATTGAGGCAGAAAGTTTAAAGGGGTCACCTAAGATCACTTTTGCAAGATGGGGAGAGACCTTCATTCAACAATTAGAGTCCAGAATGTCCCACTCCTGGTTAAATGCTGCATATTCAACAGCTCATTAAGTTCTAGCCACTGGATTTATGAAGGAGCCTTGGTGGCACAGTGGTTAAGTGTTCAGCTGCTAACCAAAAGGTTAGTGGTTTGAACCTACCCAGTGACTCTGACGGAGAAAAGACCTGGCAATCTGTTCCTATGAAGATTACAGCCTAGAGAACCCTATGGGGGCAGTTCTACCCTGTCACGCTGGGTTGAAATGAATTGAAATTGACTTGATGGCACCTAACAACAACTGGATTTATGAATCCTCTTTCATATGGTTCTCCTTTTCCTCCACTGTCTTCAGTCAGGCCCTCGGCATCTTCCGTTTGGTCTACTGCATTAGCCTCTTAACTGGTTTCTCTTCAGACTCTCACATTTTAGTCAACAGTCTACATTGTTGCCAGAAAAATCTTTATATAACACAAATATGGCCTAGCTGCAATTCTTTTAAAAATTCCCGGTTCTACAAAGCCCATGGAATAAAGTCCACATCCTTTAGGCTGGCAGACAAGACCCATCTACAATCAAATCAAATCCAGTGAGGTGAAATCTTTGGAAGCAACACGAGCAGTACAGGGCTGTGGTTATGGCACAACCATGGTAAAGAAACAGATGGATTTCAGAACGTGGGCAAGGTGTGGTTCGTTGTTACTCTCTTTAAACACACATACTTGATTCTGAGAAATACTTTTAGGAACTGATCTTCCTAAATAAACATGTGGTCCTCAATACCAAAGATAATATGGGTGACAGGCACTGGTCTTAGGAGAAATAAGAGCATACTGGATAGAATTTGAAGGACTGGATGGAAAAGAGGAAAAATTGTAGGGTGTTGGCAAAGGCAGAGGGAAGTGCAGGGAAGAAGATTTAACTTCAGGGTTTGCTCCTGAGGACATTTTGTGTTCCTTGTTTCTCAGGCCTTCTTGAGAATTACTAACAGATGGAACCCTTTCAGGCTTTGCTCAAATAACCGCCTTCATGAAATCTTCTCAGAACTGCTCTATGGAAGGGACTGTCCCCTCTGTTGCCATAACTCTCCTCCAGACCTCCACCTGTCAGTGGTTGTAACCAGGGGCAGATTAACCAGAAAGCAAGGTACGTACTGCTCAACTGTGTTTACTTACTAATCTGTAGTACGTAATTTCACATGGGTTTCTACCACAGCATGCAGTAAAAAACAGGTGAAACTGTGCATTACAGATTAGTAAGTAAGCCTGTGTGTACTTTGCTTATTGGGTGATCCGGCCCTGTGACACTCGGTTAGTATACTAACCTATTCTTTTGTACAGAAAGTTCCTCAGGGCAGGGCCAGTCTCTCATTCACCATGAATCCTCCTTCCCTCTCTGTGGCTCCTAATACTCAATTACTAGTCCATGCATTTAAGAATAGAAGGATTGTGAAAACTGAACATGAAAGTTTCAGAATTTTATCCCAAACATACCTAGAAAATCAGAAATTGCCTTAAAAAAGTACCATTTGCTTTTGTTGTGAGAGCTCAAGAAGTTGTGTCAATATAAAATTTTGTAGTAAGCCTATGAGGCAAACATTGAAGGAAGATAATAACATTAACGTTTCTTGAAACGCTACATTCTCCAGTTAAAAATGCAGTTAAACACAAAAAATATAAAATTCTTTTATACCGGGAATTTGAGAGAACTTTTTTTTTGAGAATATACACAGCAAAACATACATCAGTTCAATCATGTCTACATGTACAATTTAGTGACATTGATTACTTTCCTCAAGTTGTGCAACCATTCTCACCCTCCTTTTCTGAGTTGTTCCTCCCGCATTAATATAAACTCACTGCCCCTTAAGGTTCCTATCTAATCTTTCAAGTTGCTGTTGTCAATTTGATCCCATGTAGATAGTTCTTAAAAGCACATAATGCTCAAGGCAGATATTTTTAACTAGTTAAACTAAAATATGGTTTGGCTTTAAGAAGATGTCAGGGGATATTTTTGGCTTAAGATTTAAAGATTATCTTAGGACAATAGTTTCAGGGGTTCATCCAGCTTCTGTGGCTCCAGAAAGTCTGGAGTCCATGAGAATTTGAAATTCTGTTCTGCATTTTCCCCCTTTTGATCAAGATTCTTCTATAGAATCTTTGATCAAAATGTTTAGTATTGGTAGCCGGGCACCATCCAGTTCTTCTGGTCTCATAGCAAAGGAGGCAGTTGTTCATGGAAGCAATTAGCCACATATTCCATATTGTCTTCTTGTTCCTGACTCTCCTCTTTCCTCTGTTGCTTCAGGTGAATAGAGACCAATTTTCGTGCCTTGGATGACACTTGCAAGCTTTTAAGACCCCAGGCTAGGGGTCTAGGAGGTAGGACGTAGAACAGAAGCACTAAACATGATATTAGCCCAATTAACTGGGATGTCCCATGAAACATGACCCTGAGAACACTGTTTTATTCAAAACTCTTATTTTCTCCCAAAATTGGTATCTTCATTGTATATATAGTGATATAAATCCTCCTTCAAGTTGTATTTTAAGTGTGTGACACTGTAAAAATATATCCCCCAGAGACATTTACACAACAGTATTGTGTTTTTGCAAATATAGGTCCAAATGATTTTTAAAAACTGGACACGGCCATCTTGGGATGGATTAAGGAAAATGAGGAAGATTAAGAACACTTGGATATGTATTTCATATAAACCTGATTATCCTGGGGCTAATGATTGTGGCTGGTCACTCTGAGAGTTCGTTAACTTTATTATAAAAGTCATCATTTCCAGAACGACCTTATTATAAGTAGTTAGCATTTTGTCTAATACTTTACAAATTTCAAAGCACTTCATACACATCCTTTCATAATTAGAAAATTCATTTCAAGCACTGGCCAATCATATTTCAAAAATGGGTTTCCATGTTAAGAGTTGAGATGAGAGAAGTATTCTGGACATACCATCTCATAATCAACAAAATAACTTAAAGCTTATGGCTGATTGATGGGGTCCCAGATCCACTGAAGAACAGAATGGTAGGCTACAGAGACATCTGCTACCTCTACATTTTAATTTGGCCGGCACAGTTGACACCGAGTACTTTGGCTTACCTTGCTAAAGGGCGTCTGGCTCGATTAACAGCTTCAAGATCAGCATAGCGGAGATCTAGCTGGCAGCCAACTAGAATAACAGGTGTGCGAGGGCAAAAGTGCTTGATTTCTTGATACCACATGGTTTTCACATGATTTAGGGAATTGGGATTAGCGATCGAAAAACAGAGAACCGCAACATCGGACCTAAAAGGAAATCACAAAAGAAGCTGTATTACTTGTTAACTTTTTTTTTTTTTAAACCATTGTACCCCCCTCCTGCCCCTATCTAATACCACAACATGTCACAATTAAAAAGAAAAAAAAAAAAATAAAAGACCAGATATTAAAATACATCTTGGAGTCATGCAAACAGCTTGAAAGCCCCCACATTCCAGCACTAACACAGCCTAGTAGTTCATTTCCATATTGCACTGCAGAATGCATATGCATTGAAAAGTTTCAGATGAAGTTATTTTACAGTACAGATGATTACCCAAACTTGACTCAGTCCTGGAACCACAACATGCTGAACTATTTCTGTTTATCACAAGAAATAGTTTCAAGAAAAAAGAAAATAATAAAAACCACCTTTTACCAGTTTAAACAGAAAAGTGATGATGACTCAACCCAATGAGATAAATAAAGCAAACAGTTTAAACATTACTGAAAATGTAATGGAAGTATTTGCCGTACAGGGTCAGCAAATACACAGAAGGATTTCTGCCCTTCTTCCCGCCTCTGCACACATGTAGAGAGCAAAACCACTTATCTGTTTCCGAAAAGAAATATCCTGAATTTGCAGGAATTCTGACTCTTTACTAGGTATAAGGCAAGAAGGCAGTATTTAACGTACAACTAAGCAAGCGTTAGATGGATAGCTCATAAAATGACAAAATGTTGGAAGCAGATTTCTCAAATGTTATATACGACACCTAGCAGGTATATGGGGAAAAGAATTTCTTTATAGTCAATTTTGACATAATGATCTTCAATTTTTACATAAAAACTTACCATTCTAGAAGCCAAAGAACTGTATTATAAAACAGTTGCTTAATTATGGTGTTTGACAGAAAGCTGCTAACAGTATCTTTAATACAATGTATAAACCATAATTCTAAGTTGAAATATGTTAAATGATGCGTTTCAAAACATTGAGGCAGAGGAATATAAAGAATAGGAAAATTATGCCCAAGGACTGCAGACTATCTTGCAGCTAAATTCAGAAATAAACTCTTACAATTTTATTAGATGTTAATTTATTGCCTTTATTGTTTATGTAATGAGAAGAATCAAGGCGATGAATCAAAACACCTTCTTTTTAAATCATTAATGAGCGATTCCCCCTATATAGCAATGAAGACAAACAAATATATCTAGGCAACCATAAAATCTCCAAAAATAATCATTTGCAATGCAGAAAACTGCAGGGTGCTTATATTAAATGTAATTCACAAGTTGAGCCTGTAAATTTATATCTAAGAAAAACTGCACCAGACTACAGCAAATAGAAGAAAAAAAATCCCAAGATTAAAATATTTTCAAATTACAAAAATAGGTTCTAGGACTCAAAGTAGATGAATATATCACACTGTATGTTTAGTATCTCCTTGAAATAAAGATACTATTGAAAATTCTTGGACATTGGAAGAATATGTGTAAAAATATGCATAAATACATAAATGAAAGAGAAACATGTCTTGTCTTTGGGATTCTGATTTAGTTAGTGGAATAGTCTGTGCTCAGTTTTACTCCCTATCAGCATAAATAACTGCATCCACTAAAGCCAAGAATGCTTTGAATTTTACATTTTCTTAGGGGCTGAGTTTTCTATTATTCATAATCCTATTTATATTGGGTATCTGATGAAGCTTTGTCCTGATCATAAAATAAAGCCACCATGAATTTAGGTATAGTGAGAATAGTTATGACAATATCTGAGGTTCAATATCATAGAGAAATAATTGAGGAAATGTACCCAACATCTAAATGTGGAATAGTGTGTATCTGTACAAAATTACTCTAATTGGTGCCTTCTATTTCCATAGTAAAGCACATGGCTATAAAGGAAATCATTCTCAGAGCTTAATTTATATGACAGACATGTAGCCTAAATGTCAATTCTGTTATCTAATTTTGTGATACAGCATGTGAGCTTTTGAAATCAGAGCTAGCTCGGTTGCCAAGGTTACCATGATAACACTCAAGCCATTGAACACATACTAGTTACTATCCAGATGACCTGTAAACAAGTACAGACAGGACCTTGGGGGCTGGAAAAATGGAATCTTGTGCCGATGGCAGCACATAATACAGTTCCAGAGGGCCTAACTTCTAACTATGTTGCATCAATAACTAAATGCCTGAAATACTGTTGGAAAGCTAGAAAAATGCTCTGCAAATATTTGGCCTCAAAAGGATACTAGTTAAAGAGGCTGCACTCAGAGCAATACTACCATTGTCCAAAGCTAAAATAACTTATTGAGTCAAAATTTCTATTTGGATCGTTGGAAAAAAGTTTTTTGTTTTTTTTTAAATTTGTATGGAGGTGCTGTAAGAATTTCCCCCATTATTTCACAGTGGAAGCAGATAAAAAAAAAGATCGTATTATGACTACCAACTTGCTTAAATGGCTTTGGTTTAGCCCCTGTTGATCTAATTACAAATGTAAGTTAAGAAAACAAATTACATATATTCTTATTCTTTAGTCCCAACATATGAATATGGTGCCCTAAACCTGATTTTCACAAAAATGCTGAGAATCAATGGATCTAGCAACAGAACTATAGAAAGATACACCCCTCCTTATTTCAATATTCTTTTGTAATTCCTAGTTCTTAACACATAATATTGTCTGTGGTATAAACACCTATATAATCAAGTAGCTATTCTGAGAATGCCATTTATTCCATCTAGATTTTGAGCCAGTTTTTCTATGCAGTCAAAGAAGGCACAGGATCTGCAGCTAAGAATATCTCCAGCTGTAGGCAGAATTCTAAGAAACTAGACACATTAAATCACTTTTAATCAAAACATGCATTCCTGTGTGGAGACTGTTCAATGTCTGACATTAGCTTGTGTTTAAAAATGCCATTCCAATGAATGATAAACAGAAAAAGGCAAGTTCTAGTATTTCTACTTCTATGGCTCTGTCGAGTTTTTTACTTCGAAGAGTGAGGTTAAAAATAATTGGGAGAGGGAGTGTGGTGAGGACACTCTCACATATTAAGCAGCAAGATTAGCCTAGAAATGACCTCAGGGGTCCTATTTCAGCTGTAAAAAGAATCTGATGGGATTTAAATCGAGTCCTATAGCTATTTGGAGTAGAAAGCACAAGAATTTGAGAATGCAGAGGCAAAGCACAGAGTTGATAAAATTCTAAATTCCAGAACTGAAATATTCAGAAGTAGAAAGAAGTTTGGAATGCATATATATATATATATATATTAGGGAAAAATATGATTTCTTATTCCTAACTTGAAAAAATCAATATAAAAATTTCACAGCAAATAATGTTCATGAAATAATGTTTGGTTAGCTAAGTGAAGAAGAATTCAAAGTAAATGGCTGTGTTGGAAACAATTAGGAATCTCCAATTTCATCGTAGGTGGAGGGGATCAAAGAGAGACCAAGTCATCTAAAAATGCTTGAGCTGGTAAATCCAACCTCAGCTGTATTAGCTTTTCTTCAGATATTAAACAAACAAAAAATAGCATCTCTTTCAGTTATGTTTCAAGAACAACACTGGTCAAAGACAGCAGGTCAAAGACTGGCAAAGGTATTTGGATAATATAAGGAGCGCATGCAAAATTGGGACCAAAATCTTTGTTGGAGGATAAAAGAAAAAAAATCTGAAAAAGTGCATCTAACCCACATATCTTGGCCTGAGCCAGACTTTGAACAACAAATGCCACACACATTCCCAAAGGCTGTCTTTATAACTTACAGTCAAACATAGCAAACGTGGTAAGAAAAGATCAGAGGAAAAACCAGAAGCTAAACTGTTTCTCCAATCTGAAATATCAAATTTATCCTTAGAAGAAGTGGTTGAAAGAGGGTAGGTAATCGGTATCAAAAGTTAATTGTTTGGAATGAATTTTCTAAGCTCTTCCTTATCACAGAAGTTCTCTCAATCTTCTTAGTCGGTCTTCCCTTTCCTAGTCTCTTCTACTTTGCCATCATTGTCCAACTAAGGGACTGTGGGCCCAGGGTTTTCTCATCTGTTAAGTGAAAGACTATCCCTAAAGTATCCTTTATCTAAGAGCCTAAGATAAGTACAATTTTATGGGCGATGGAAAGGATTCCACCCATCCCTCCAGACAGCTGTGAGTGGGACAGCCAAATGCCCTTTTCCAGTGTCCCCAATTCTTGTTGGGTCTCTTGCTGGAGTAACACTTGGTGACCCAGAGGGAGTTAAGAATAATATTTTCCTGAGTTCTGCTGGGAAGTATCTCCTTTTAATCTTTTAACGTACATTTGTACTTTTAAGCCTTTCGTTCTTTAGTAGGATCCTACCTCTCTATATGTCACCACTGCCTCTTATTTTAATTATTTCATTTTTTCAGTAGAGATTCTCACAATATTTATGTTGGTACCAATCATGGTCTTTTTTAAATGGGTTTCTTTTATTTGTCAACATGCACAAGTCCCCTCTGGAAATGACTCCTGGCCTTTGGGACTTCAAGCTTTCTTCTCCTCCTTGATAACCAAAGAAGACTCTTTACAGAAAACATTTTCAAAACCATTCATGTTAACACATCTTTCATGCACATAGTCTAACAGTGCTATGCAAACAGACAGATCAAAACAGCACAAAACAGCTGGGAGCATGGCAGAGAAAAAGGGATATGTAACACGTGACTTTGGAAAATTTTAGTAGGGGAGCAGCCCAGTGTGTATGAGATGTGGAGTGAGTTGTCAGTAATGGTGAACATAACCACCTGGAGATGAATGGCTGTGTAAGTTCATACTCATGGAAGATGGAGAGGCCTGCAGGGGAGCGCCTGGCAGGGGATCTGAGGACAGCAGGGTAGTACCATGCAGGCCCTGGATGTGAGCGGAGAAATCAAGTCAATACTTTACCAATAGCAGTGAGGCTTCTTAAGTACAGATGTTATGTGGGGGAAACTGTCAAAACACCCTGAAATATATCCAGATTTGGGAGTGATTAGCATGCACAACTATTTCTTCCAAGCCCATAGCTGCAT